TTTTTAATGGGTGCTATTCAAATTTTATATTTCTTCCAGAGTCAGTTTCATTAATTTGTCTTCAAGGTACTTCATAGAAGTTGTCAAATTTATTTCAAAAAAGATTTTTGTAATATGCTTTCTATATCCTTTTAAATTCTATAAAATCTGTGGTAATGTCCTCTAAATCTTGATATTATAATTTGAAAATGTATAATTGATATTGTGTAATAGGAAGAAAAGGTCTAAAGAAGTAGGGGAAGTGGGAGAGGTAGGGGAAAGAAAAGGGAAAAGAAAAAATATGAGAAAAGGAAAAAAATGAAAACAAAGTCTTTGTTAATAGGGAAGGGTGGAGGGCTTGAAGGGAGAGCAGGAAAATAGGGAAAAAAATAAGAACCAAGACACATCATGTAAAAGTACAAGATCTCAATGACGAATGTAACTGTATTTTATACCTAAAATGTACTAGTAAACTTAATGGAAAATAAAAAAGCTTGAAGATGACCTTTTACTTGCATTTTGAAAAGAGGATTTGGACCACATCAATCAAACAAGTGAAAAATTACTAAGTCTCAACTTGGCTATAAAACAGGGCATCTATTGTGGCCATCATTAAATTTGTTTCTTAAAAAGCTGAGAAAAAAATCCAACTGAAACGTTATGGAATATAAAGCAGAAGCCATAAAGATGAGCAGTTCAACAAGTAGGAGTCATTCTGATTTGAGAAGTAAATTTTAACCTAAAAATTCAGTTTGTACTTTATGTTATACCAAGAGTAGTAACTAATTAAGAGGAAATGATTCATTTTGGGCAGAAGCGGAGACTAAATAGGCTCTTTGGGTTGTTTGATTTTCTCATTAATGAAGAGAGAGTCCTAGAAACAAAATGGGAAGACCAAACTCTCAGGGAATTGAGCCACTAATACCAGCAGCAATAACCTAAAACTCCAAAAAAAACCACTCAATAAGAGTCTTGGTGACAAGACACTTTACCAGAGTTACCATCTCAAAGAGTGTTTTGGAGAAGAATCAGCACATGAAAAATGTGGACAAGTCCTCACGGTTTTTGAATGAAAGAAAATCTGTAGAGATTTGTTCCTAGATGGCCAAATACCAAATGTTTACCAATTACTGGAAATCTAAAAATGTATGCTTAGCAAACTACCAGTAATAATAATAAAGTTGATCAATAATGTTAAAGGAAAGACTGAATTATCTTTCTACCTTGTACATAGGGAAATATTACAAAACTTCCATCTAAAGAAAGGGAAGCCAAAAAAAATAAAATCTAAGAGAACAAGCTTTTAAAGAAAAAAATCCAGGAGGCTAACTAATTAGAATATATTTATATGTATTTTGCAATGGTACTTATATTTTTTAACGTTCCAAATATAATTATTTTCAAGTTAATGATATGTTTTTCATCATTTCATATATTTGGTTTACATATTCATAAGCCAGACATTGTGATGTACATCTGCAATCCCAGCACTCCAGAGGTTGAGTCAAAAACCTAAATAAATAAATCATTACTGAAGACATCCTGTAAATTATAAACACTCAAAGCTCCTCAAAACCTAGTACACCCTTATCTTTTTCCTAGTAATTGTGAAACAAATTGAGATAGTTTCTATAAGCAAAATAGACTTAAGAAATGCTCTGTTCATTACTGCACCACAGTGCCTAACACACAGTAAATGAACAGGAAAGTTCATATTCAAATAATGAGCAATTCTTGGAGACAGAGCTACAAACAGCAGGAGAGATACCGAGGGCGAGTTAGGCAGAAGTTTCTCCTTAATAATCTAGATTTATTGATCCTGTGAAGTACCCTGCTAGATTCTGAAGGTCTAAAGTTGTATATGGCAGTCTCTCAAAGAACACTAATCCAGGTGAAGGCACAGAACCTGTAGAAAATAGATCACCAGGCCTGGTAGTGCACAACTGTAATCTCACCAATCTGGGAAGCTGAGGCAGGAGGATCTGCAGTTCAAGCCCAGCCTGGGCAACTTAGCCACTCAGTGAGACCCTGTCTCAAAACAAACATTAATAGAGGAGCTTGGGATACATGTCAGTGCAGAGGCCACCAAAAGAAAAAAAATAGAACACAACCTTGCTTAAGTCCTGAAGCACAGGGCTGGTGCCTCACCATCAGAGACAACACACTGGGTGAGTATAGTTGGGAAAACTTCATGAAATTTGCGTCTGCATCAGAGAGAAGGAGAGAGCGCCAAGGAGGAGTGATGAGGACATGGGCAGAGCCCCACATGGCCTGCTTAGAAAAGGGAGCTGAATGCAAACCCCATAGCCTGAAGTCAGCCCCACTTGTGACAGCCAAGAGCGCCACACCAAGACTTTGCTGCAACTTGGGTGTAAAAGGGGGACAAGTGCTTGGGGAGAGGGTGCTCAGAGGGAACAGACTGGAAAGCTGGGAGCTCTCCTGCTAGCCAGGGGCAAGGAGACAGGAATCAGGCTGTGCAGGTGGCAGAGAGAATGCAAAGGAGGGATGGAGCCAAGAAACAAGGCCAAAGGAAGGCTCCGGGCATGTGTGTTTGTGCATGTGTGTACACATGCTTGTGTGCATGTATGTGTGTGTGTAACATCTGTTGAATCCCTAGTGTGCAGCAGGTGCTTTCCTACAGACTACTTCACACAAGTTTCAAACAACCTGGGGAAATGGGGTGGGGGAATTTATGAAGGGAAGATGCGTCGGGCACCAGGATCAGGCCAGGACGCCCACGAGCACGTTCATCTCAGGCATGTGCATTTTCCACACACCACTGCATGAGGGAAGAGAGAGAGAGAGAGAGAGAGAGAGAGAGAGAGAGAGAGAGAGAGAGAGAGAGAGAGAGAGAGAGAGAGAGAGAAAGAGCTACAGGTTTATGTCGCAGACGTCAAGGTTGCATGGGAATAGACCAGGTTCCCTGGCTGGGGACGTACCAGGGAAAAGCCAAACTGCT